GTTTTCTCCTCTCCAGAATCGCCGGCATGCTCTGCGCGCGACTTTCCTTTTGTGTCGAAATGAGCATCTCCCACACCTCTGACCGTTGGCGTGGCTTCCACCTGATCCCCGCCATCAGCTATGTTCGCTCTGTCTGCGTCATCCTTTGTCGAGCAAGGGGAGGGAAGCGGCGATGACAGCTTGGAACTGTCCAACGACATCGGCTCGGTTTGTCTCGAGTAATACCGATTGGAGTTGTTCTCAGAGCCCCTCTCTTCCGAGGGATTGACCGTAGAGTCGGTCATACTGAGCGGACGAACGCAATGTCAGCGGACAAGCAAGATGGCTTTCAGGGGGGAGGGGAGGGGGGTGTTCGAGGAAGAGCAAGAGCGCGGGGGGAGAACGGCGTACATGCGGATCGAAAAGATCCTGTTGAAACGGGTTTCGGATCTTCAATTAGACGGACATTCTATATCTACCACACAGCAGCCGGGAGACGGAACATAGACTGATCGGCAAGATCAAGCAGTAAACAGATATTAAGGGAATAGTCGACAACACGGCCGAAACGTCTGGACGTGAAACTTGAAAGGAGCGTTGGGTTTAGCAGCGACAATGGTTAGCCGCGGTGGAGTCCGCCCCATAGAAGAAGCGCAGGTCTGACTGGAGACGGAAGGCCCGCTTTGGCGCAGTTCTGCTGGTTCTGGTCGACTTGGGACACGGAGGAAAGGGGGCAGGAAATCAATCGATCAGTCAATCAATCCCTTATGAGAGGTCAGAATGGGGCTGCTTTGCACCTGCATATCCATCTACTAGATACTAATTACTTACTTAGGTAGATTGGCTGGATCTTGGCCTCGGTTGCAAGTGCCACCAGGATTGCCCATCCACCCCAACTAAGTATACAGTAGGATAAATAATACGTTAGCTTCCCCAGAAGAAAGATTGGAAGCAAAGTCAAGGTACCCTTATGCTTTCTTCTTGCTTTGAGAACATTCCTGAAAGGGGGGAGAAAGACTGCTAAGGTTCAGCGGCTTACAAAATACGCAATACGATGTAAGTAAGTTCTAAAAATCAAGGTGCGGATTACGTCGCCGTCACACTCCCTTTCCAAATACTTGGTTGCTGGGAGAGGAGGTACTTGAGAGGTACTTGCAAGGTACTCCGTGCGGGAGAAACCAAGCACAACCGGGCCACAACCGTGGTACTTTGGCCTTAAGGCAGCTAACCCCGACCTGGCTGAAAGACCGCATATTTCACCAGCCACAGGATGGCTGGTTACAGGTTTCTTACCGTTTCAAACACCCGACCCATGTGGATAAGTAAGTTACACATTCCGATCCTCGGCGCTGAAAAGGGTCACCGCTTAGCTCACCGCTTGACAATGAAGATTAACATGGTTACCGTCAGGCAAATAATCATCTTAGAATGTGGTAGTTGGCTGAGAATCTTTTAAGGGTGTTTAATCTGGAGGCTGCAATGCTAATGCTCGCATGCTCATGTGAACAGTGGATGAGACTGCCTCATGAATACCCCGTTGGTATTCTGGATATGGCGTGTTCTTAACTACGGCCCTCCTCGCAGCAGCATTCCGCTTGCTCTTAGCATTGAAGCACTTCAAATGTATTTTACAAATACGCCCGCATAATAACCGGAGACTACTATATAGATGAGCGTACGAGATGTGCAAATGGAATACCTGTCACTGCGCAGTGCAAATTCCGTCATGTTCGGTCTTGCTGCTACTAGGAGAGCCCCTCTAGTACTCACTACTAGAAATAGTGGAGTAATGCTTTTCTTGCAACACCCCTCGGTAAAGTGCCTCCGAGGCAACTAGATATATATCGGCGAACTACCTACCTTCGCCCATCAAACAACTCCCACCCCCCGGCAATACCAATTCCTCATCACTACATTATAGCAACCCAGCAAAAGAAAATACCGAGACACCCACAGAGCAAGCAACGAATTATGGCTGATCCCATAAAGACACTCGACAACGCAAGCCGCTACTGCGGTGTTTCAACCGTCTCGCGAAAGACATACCCAATTGCGGGGATCCAAACCACAGTCTATGGTCTTGATGAAATCCCCCCACAAATCTCAGACATTGCATGTCTGTGGCTCCTACATCCCAGAGGGGGTACCCAAGAACGTATGACAGGCATTGGAACGACCATCATCACGGGTTGGAATTCCGGGAACCCCACCAAGGGCCTCATTGCTGTCGCATTCGATCAACGGAATCATGGAACGAGAGAGGTAGATCCGCTAGCCAATGAAGCATGGAGACAGGGAAACCCTCGCCATGCTCAGGATATGTTCTCAATCTTTCGTGAGTTGAGTCATTTGCTATCAAAAGAAAATTGCCGACTCTGACACTTTTCTTTCTTTCGAAACCACAGAGGGCACTGCCCGAGACGTATCTCTTCTGATCGACTACCTCCCCTCTTATGTGTTCCCCCACTCCGATCGCAAGATCGTCGAAAATTTGGTGTTAGGGGTTTCCCTGGGTGGCCATGCAGCATGGAGCTGCCTTCTGCATGAACCTCGCATAAGCGCTGGGGTCGTCATCATCGGCTGCCCGGACTACGTGAATCTGATGGCTGATCGGGCCAGATTATCGAAATTGCCATCGTGGACGAGCACCGATACCCCAGGCTCCCAGTTCCTCGGCTCCGAGGCGTTTCCTTCTTCTCTGCTGGATGCTGTGAGGAGGTACGATCCGGCAAGTCTGTTGTTGAGCCACGTGAAGTCGGCCTCGGATGTCGGTCCTCTTCGCAGTGGACCATTGCCGGAGCCGACGGAGAGCGAGAAGGCGGCGTTGCGTCCATTCCTTTCCCGTTCCATAGCCGGAAAGAGAATTCTCAATTTGGCTGGCGGCAAGGACAAGCTGGTCCCTTATCATCGCGGGGAGGTGTTCTTGGCTTGGTTGAAGCAGGCTGTTGCTTCACAGGGCTGGTTTGCCGATGGTGCTGTGACCTTCGAAGATATTATTGATGAAGAGGCTGGGCACGAAATGACCGGGAAGATGATGGATGAGGCAACTCGTTTTGTTCGTGAAGCCCTGGAGGCCAGCAACAAAGCCCCAGGAAAGGTGGGGTCGGTGCGTGAATCGAAGATCTAGAACCCTTTCTCTCTGCCCGGGGTGTACTACGACCGCTTTTTACATACTAGACACATATAACTGTTCCCGCACATACCTACATCATGCAACATGGTCCTCTACTATGCTCACCATATTATATGATCATTATCATACGGATACCACTGGTGCATTACAATAACCGAGCAAGGGGCATAAACTAAAGCCACAACCCCCGAACTCTGAAGTCGGAGAGGTAGGTCATAGTCCAGTGGTCTACGCATTCTGTATTTTGCTGCAACTTCAATGGGCATTTCAGATCTGGGATATACATCCTCAGTACCGGCGCTGCTGGCTTATCCTCAGACAACTGATTTCAAGAGCCTTGCCTTCATGTTCAAAGATAGAAGCCATGGCCCGGCATACTCGGTAGCAGCATAGATCGAGGAAGAGCGAACATATCCACAGAAAAAAAAAGTTGTCCTCCTTTATGGTATTGTTCAATAATAGAAGCGTGATCGTAAGGGCATCCGGAGGCCAATCTTTGCTCGTCACAAATAGAAACCCTTTTGAATTTGTAAATACACGGATCAAGGTGCCCGATCCGCGGCTCCCATTTTTTGTTTTCTCATTCCCCGGGGAGAATTCGAATCTCTATTACACCGAATCGTAGCCAGCGCAGCACCTGTCCCGGTTTTTCATCCTCCAAGTGAAATCCCAGACTTTCCACACTTAAGCAACGAGCTCAACAACACCACCGGCAGCCTTGATCTTCTCCTCAGCATCCCGGCTGAAGTAGCGAGCGCGGACGACGATGGGGACCTCGGGGAGACGGCCCTTGCCGAGAACCTTGGAGTAGCCGAGGGGAAGGAGGTCGATGACGGGGGCGGTGTCGGTCTTCTGGCCGCTCAGGTAGGCGTCACGCTTCTCGGCGGGGACGAGAGACCACAGCTATATTGGAAAGAGAATTGATCAGCTACCCACATCCTTCAAAACGTATTCCAGTCTCATGTGTTCTCGCGCTCCTGTTCTATTCCCTCTCCTATTCTTCTTCCACGTCGTGTGATGACAAAACGTCCACCCCTTGCGCTTTCTCATCCTTCTGCTTCTCTTCTCGATTGGAATCGTATTGTCGATTTTAAACGTACCTTGTCAAGGTTGATAGTGGGCTTCCAGAACTGCTGCTGGGTCTTGTGGAAGTACCTCATACCGACCTTACCGAAGTAACCGGGGTGGTACTTGTCGAGGTTGGTGCGGTGGTGGTGCTGACCACCGGCCATACCACGACCACCGGGGTGCTTACGGTGCTTGCCAATGCGACCGTAACCGGCCGAGACATGACCGCGGCTAAGGAAGAGGACACAAAAGTCAGTTTTCTTGTTGTTCTGGTAGACGGGGCGGAAGGTGGTCGGATGAGGCCACAAGCCTGTCGCAAATTGACCACGACAAACGGGACGGTCGACCACCGGAGGCGAAAGGGAGAACTGAAGCGACTCACGCTTTCCTTGTCTTCGAGAAACGGGTAGGCATCTTGTCGACGGTGCTGAGCTCGACAAGACCGGTCTGAGGGTTGGCGATGGGGGGATGCGGTCGTGTATACTGCTGGCTCAGATGTTGAAATCAAGGCTCCGGGGCGGCTAGAGTGTGCGCTAATTCGCTTGCCCTAACTTAGGGCCAACCCTGCGGCTTACCTTTGGCGGCTGGGCGCAGTACCGTCACGTGAATTGACGCCTGCGCCACTAGATTACATAACCGTCATAGTACATTCTCAAGTCATCGTTTGGATCGACAAAGTGCTAGGATAGATCTAGATAGGTTCCTCCCAGATGATTTCATTGACCGTCCGGAAACAATATCTGTAAGATCCTGAGCATGTGTGGAATCATATAAGTGTTAATTGTTCTGAAACGGCTTAAATTCTTTATCTGAGCTCGATTCAGGTTGATTTACTGGCAAAAAACTTCGCTAAACTCTGAACTGTAGCACCGGCAGGTCGTTGAACCGAACTGCCTACCATACTCTGTTTGATCCAAGCCGGTAGCTTCGCTTGGATACCGGGTTTTTCATAACGTCTGTCAACGAGAACAATCGCCGCATAGTCGTTACGGTGCCTAATGGCTCGCCCAATACACTGGTTCACTGCTCGCATGCAGGAGTTCTCATAGAAGTCCCTCCCTGCTGCTTTTGCTGCTAATTGCCGGCTTGCCTCTGAGCCTGTAGCCTGCTGGTGTGTTTTTTGCTCAATATACTGTATCTTGGCTTGCCAAACTGCACTCCGTATATTCGGAAAGGGCAGTCCCACAATCAACACACCCCGTCCGAGTTTGTCAGAGAAATTGATTCCCTCTGACAGCTTGCCGCCCACAACGGACAGGAGAAGCGCACCCCTGCCAGAATCAACGGTGTTCGCGTATGTATGGAGCAGCTCCTCAGTAGTAACTGTCATGTCCCGGGACTCGGACAGGATGGGCTTCTTCTGCCCAATCAAGTTATACACAGTCTGGCCTTGCTCGCCCAGCATTGGCTTCTTCCAGATGTTCAAGACCCGGCCAAGGTAATCGTAGCTGGGAAAGAATGCTACTACACCGTCAGGGATGACATGGCAGAGGGTAGCTATCGTCCGCCCGAGATCCATGATCTGAATGCCCACGTAACAAAGGTCAGCCTCTTCTCAGACAGAGGACGATGCTAGGCGTCAAAAGAGAAAAGCTCTCACCATTTTTTCAGAGTCACGGGCATCATAGGTAAAATCAAATTCTGAGCCTTGAACACCCCGCACCAGTGTGTGGGCGATCAGATTTTCAGGTGGTATGACATGGCCGTAGCTGAACGTGTCTAGACGACTAGCTGGGACGTACGAGAAGAGATGGTTCATGTAGTCTGTCATCTGCCGAAGTCGTTAGATACCAATATACTACCATTGATGGCTGTCGAAACTTACGGGTGACATAGTCCCGCCAGCCAGTATGATGGCTCTTGCATCCTCCACAAGCTCCCGAAATTGATTAGTAGGGTCTAGAAGCATGTACTTCAATTGGATATCTCCCTGTTCCTTTGAGTAGAACAATCGCCCTTCGGCAGAGGGGTTCATCAAAGACAGAAGAAATCCCTGTATGTGAAACAGTACAGGAACTGTGGGACTCCTTGACGCCTGCTTATCCGAGGGATCTCTAGTGAACTCAACATATCCATCAACTTTCCTTGCTAATTTGCTTTCTTGTAAATATCGACTTAGTTTATAAGGATTGATCTGATCAACCCCCTTTCCGGACATGAGTTCAGATATCAGAACAGGACCCTCCGGTGCCTTTCCGCTCTCAAGGAGCGACCGAAGATGAGCAGCGATTGAACTGAGAAGCCGGATAACTTGAGCAACATAGCTTCTGTTTTTCCCCTTCAAGCGAGTTTTGAATTTGCGGCCATAGATTGTCAATTGAGAAAGGGATGTCTGCAATTGTGAAAGCGTCACCGTTACCGAGTGTATGTTGGATATTGCGTCCATCAAATTGTGAGCTTCGTCGATTATTATGACATGCCCCTTGACAGATGAATTAAGAGCCTCTCTCGCTGAGCGTTGCAATAGCAAGGGATATGGCAGTGTCACAATCTGCCATTCATCAGGTACTAGGTCAATTGAAGATCGGGCTCGAAGGCAACAAACCTCACTATCCTTAACAACAGAGCGAGATGCATAATAGGGGCATATTCCAATCTTCTTGCCAAGCTTTCCCAAGTCCTCAATGTCTTTCACTGTTGATAATGCATGGTCTCGGAATTGAAGTACCTGTCTTTCATCTTCTTTGGAAGGCAGAAATGGACATCTATGCTGAGGATTCACATTGGGCTGCTGTAGATCTAAACAACGCTCATTAATGGCTGTTGCATTTTCCAATGAACTGACACGGGGATTAATGCAGAGGTTCTTCCGAGAACCAAGAGTGACATGCTTCACACGCTCCTCGAGTTCTTCTTCTCCTGTCAAGTCAGTACTCAAAAGGTCCTTCGGTATGCTCCATGGCATTTTGACGCGTCTCAGTTCACCAGCAAATTGGGTTAACTGGGAGTGCGTCCGGGAGCAATAAAAAATCTTGACTTCGTCATTGTCTGCATCGTCACTTCCTGGCTTGGCGGTCGAGATCTGTCCTTTAAATCGTTCCAACAATTCAAGTGTACTAGGAGATAGTTCGCTAGTATGGGCCAGCTCATCCCGCGGTTTGCTATGCTCTTCATTTTCGCTGTCGTAGTCATCCAGCGCAAACTGGTCTTCACTTAGCCCACCAGATTCAGTTAATGGTATACTATATTTCTGCACCGACGAGTTTTTAGTCAGCCGTTATTCTGAGGCAGAAGTGTTGCTGAACCTCATACCTGCTTTTTCCGGGGTCCTTCGGGGTTCTCTAGCGCAATCCTCTGCTGCTCTTCTTCCTTTCTCGTCTTTTCTAGTCTCTCTTCAAGCTCCTTCCTCTTCTCGGTCATCATCCGGCTCGACTCACGCCTGGCAAAATCCAGCATCCATTCAGGTTCGTCATCATCGCCTAGAGCACGATTAGTGAAGGAATTCGGCTATCCAGTAATGAGGAGCCTTACATGTAGCATTGTCAACCGCCGTCTGGAAGGCGGAACGCTTGTGATCTCGCAGCCACGTCAAGGAACCACATATCAAACTTAGGGATTTTCCCTGGGGAATTATTCAGCCATATCCCATGACGCCACGGCACATTTAGGTGAATTCTCCAGCTTGTGCTACCTAAGCCAGGTGTTCCTGAGCTATTAGATAGTATATGGTGATGACCAATAAGTGCCTACTGTGCATGCTGAATAAAATGAAATGAGAACCTTACTTACAGTTCCTGGGATTGGCTATATTAGCTGCAAATGAAGCTAGCACGAAGCTAATACGCTTACCAGTAGGTGACTCGAAAACAGCAACTTTTCCTTGTTCGAGACAAGAGTATAGCGCCCGCATCAACTGCAGTTGGATGTCATAAGGCGAATAAGGATGGTGGAAATCGTTACGCTGGAGTTCCATTGGTGGTGTTGCAGCCCGAAGCTGAGCACTGGCCAAAAATAAACGGCAGCCCGAAGTTGACGAGACAAAACAAAGTCTATATGCTCACTTGGTGGAACGCCAAGCGCCAATGCTTTTACCACTGTCAGTACTTAATGCCTGTGACGGTATACTTTCTGACTGCGTTCGAAGATGATACGACCAGTTAAGGAAGACAACCTCAATCACTTGCCAGCTAATGTTTCGGAAAAAGAGCAACAAGTGTTAGGACAGCATCTCACGTCGCTAAGTGTGGACTATACGCTGATATGCCTATGTATATGTAGTATATCTCGGAGGGGAAAGCCGCACCTACCCAACCAGTTACTCTGATGGTGATTACACATTACCAACAAAGGTGAAAGAAAATTCCAGTCCTGGGCCCACCGCAGAGGATGGTTGATAGAGACCAAGCGACTGCTTACCTAAACTCAAAGAAATTGTTCGACCTCTTTTTTTGATGACAATTTATGTGCGATGTGTCTGTAGATGCTAATTTTGCGCTCTCGCTTTGCTCCGCGATTCTTTCCCACACGAGTCATTAATATGGATGAAAGATGAGTGGCCCAAAGAGAGGACGAGGAGGAGGAATGGAAAGACTTTGAGTATCTGTCAGGTATGGTAAGATTCCTTCTGAAAGGGGCTTCCATCACTAGTCTAACGGACTCCCTGGGCGCTTAGTCCAAGAGGGAGTGGTAGTGCAACTGTCGCGATAAAAATAGCTGGCCATCCATCAGGCTGAGCAGTATAGTTTCCAAGTACTAGCATCCTCAGTTCTGATCTCTCCTTTCAATGGAATTTGCATGACCCGTTGCTTAATTTCTGCCCCTAAACTTCTCTTTCTCACCCCCAGGGTGATGGTCAGGTATTGTAAGTATCCATGCAACTTATCTTATCCATATGCAGTTAACTCCGTAATAGTTACTTAAGTTAATTAAGTAGTTAGTTATCTGGGCTAGCAGTGCCTGCTTACCTCACATCAGATAGATAACTACGTAGTAACTAGTTACGTAGTAACTAATTACTATTTTAGTTTCCAAGAATTTTCCGGCATCAGTAAAATTTATTTAGGAAATCTCCCAACCCTCTAATAAGCAGCCGATGTTAGTAGTAAGAATTGCTCGGAATGAAAAATCCTTCGTCTTCTACTCTGTTCTTCAATTGTTGCCTGCACTAGTCCATTGAATGATAACTAGTCAATTACCCGAACCATGCAGAGGAAGAAATGATGATTAATAGGAGGACTACTTCGGTAGTTACTACTAGTGGTCAAGTCGTTCTGGAGTTTCTTTCCCTGTGGAGGAGCCTAAGTACTCCATACTACTAACTAACTACTACAACCACTACTAGTACTACTACTTATGCTACTACGTATCTACGCGACTGCCTGGTAGGCTGCAAGGAAGTCCGTAGTGTGGTGGTT